CAATTAAAAGAACTAGAGAAGCAAGAGCAAACATATTCAAAAGCTAGCAGAAGACAAGAAATAACAAAGATCACAGTGGAAGTGAAGGAGGTAGAGACATGAAAAACCCTTCAAATATCAACGAATTCGGGTGCTGGGTTTTTGAAAAAATTAACAAAATACATGGACAACTAGCCAGCCTAATAAATAAGAAAAGTGAGATGAATCAAATAGACACAGTAAAAAATGATAAAGGGGACATCATCACTGATCCCACAGAAATACAAACTACCATCAAAGAATACTATAAGCACCTCTACGCAAATAAACTAGAAAACCTCAAAGAAATGGACAAATTCCTAGACACATATACCCTCCCAAGACTAAACCAGGAAAAAGTCGAATCCCTGAACAGACAAATAAGTTCTAAAATTGAGGCAGTAATTAATAGCCTACCAACCCAAAAAAGCCCAGAACCAGATGGATTTACAGCCGAATTCTACAACAGGTACAAAGAGGAGTTGGCACCATTCCTTCTGAAACTATTCCCAACAATAGAAAAAGAGGGACTCCTCCATAATGCATTTTATGAGGCCAGCATATTCCTGATACCAAAACCTGGCAGAGACACAACAAAAAAAGAAAATTTCAGGCCAATATCCCTGATGAACATCGATGCGAAAATCCTCAATAAAATACTGGCAAACAGAATACAGGAGCACATCAAAAAGCTTATCCACCACGATCAAGTAGGATTCATACCTGGGATGCAAGATTGCTTCAACATATGCAAATCAATAAATGTAATCCATCACATAAATAGAACCAAAGACAAAAACCACATGATTATCTCAATAGATGTAGAAAAGTCCTTTAATAAAATTCAACATCCCTTCATGCTAAAACACTCTCAATAAACTAGGTATTGATGAAACATATTTCAAAATAATAAGAGCTATTTATGACAAACCCACAGCCAATATCATACTCAATGGGCAAAAGCTGGAAGCATTCCCTTTGAAATCTGGCACAAGATAAGGATGCAGTCTCTTACCACTCCTATTCAACATAGTATTGGAAGTTCTGGCCAGGGCAATCAGGCAAGAGAAAGAAGTGTATTCAAATAGGAAGGGAAGAAGTCAAATTGTCTTTGTTTGCAGATGGCATGATTGTGTATTTAGAAAACCCCATCGTCTCAGCCCCAAATCTCCTTAAGCTGATAAGCAGCTTCAGCAAAGTCTCAGGATACAAAATTAATGTGCAAAAATCACAAGCATTCCTATATACCAATAACAGACAAACAGAGAGCCAAATCATGAGTGAACTCCCATTCACAATTGCTACAAAGAGAATAAATTTACAGGGGAAGTGAAGGACCTCTTCAAGGAGAACTACAAACCACTGCTCAAGGAAATAAGAGAGGACACAAACAAATGGAAAAGCATTCCATGCTCATGGATAGGAAGAATCAATATCATGAAAATGGCCACACTGCCCAAAGTACTTTATAGATTGAATGCTATCCCCCTCAAGCTACCATTGACTTTCTTCACAGAATTAGAAAAAACTACTTTAAATTTAATATGGAAGCAAAAAAGAGCCTGTATAGCCAAGACAATCCTAAGCAAGAAGAACAAAGTTGGAGGCATCATGCTACCTGACTTCAAACTATACTACAAGGCTATAGTAATGAAAACAGCATGGTTCTGGTGCCAAAACAGATATACAGACCAATGGAACAGAACTGAGGCCTCAGAAATAACTCCACCCATCTACAACCATCTGATCTTTGACAAACCTGACAAAAACAAGAAATGGGGAAAGGCTTCCCTATTTAATAAATGGTGCTGGAAAAACTGGCTAGCCATATGCAGAAAACTGAAACTAGACCCTTTCCTTACACCTTATACAAAAATTAATGCAAGATGGATTAAAGACTTAAACTTAAGACCTAAAACCATAAAACCTAGAAGAAAACCTAGGCAATACCATTCAGGACATAGGCATAGGCAAAGACTTCATGACTAAAACACCAAAAGCAATGGCAACAAAAGGCAAAATTGACAAATGGGATTTAATTAAAGTAAAGATCTTCTGTACAGCAAAAGAAGCTATCATCGTCTCTACTAAAAATACAGAAAAGTAGCCAGGCGTGGGGGCGGGCGCCTGTAGTCCCAGCTGCTTGGGAGGCTGAGGCAGGAGAATGGCATGAACCTGGGAGGTGGGGCTTGCAGTGAGCCGAGATCGCGCCACTGCACTCCATCCTGGGCAACAGAATAAGACTCCGTCTCAAAAAAAAAAAACAAAAAAAACAAAAAAAAGAAGCTATCATCAGAGTGAACAGGCAACATACAGAATGGGAGAATATTTTTGCAATCTATCCATCTGACAAAGGGCTAATATCCACAATCTACCAGGAACTTAAGCAAATTTACAAGAAAACAACAAAAACCCTCATCTAAAAGTGGGCGAAGTATATGAACAGACACTTCTCAAAAGAAGACACTTATGTGGCCAACAAACATGAAAAAATGCTCATCATCACTGGTCATTAGAGAAATTCAAATCAAAACCACAATGAGATACCATCTCATGCAAGCTAGAACGGCGATCATTAACAAGTTGGGAAACAGGCCGGTGTGTTGGCTCACTCCTGCAATCCCAGCAGTTTGGGAGGCTGAGAATGGGTGGATCACAAGGTCAAGAGATGGAAACCATCCTGGCCAACATGGTGTAACCCTGTCTCTACTAAAGGAAATGCAAAAATTAGCTGGGCATGGTGGCACACGCCTGTAGTCCCAGTTACTCTGGACGCTGGGGCAGGAGAATTGCTTGAACCCAGGAAGCAGAGGTTGCAGTGAGCTGAGATCATGCCACTGCACTCTAGCCTGGTGACAGAGCAAGACTCCATCTCAAAAAAACCAAAAAACTCAGGAAACAAGAGATGCTGGGGAAGATGTAGAAAAAATACGAACGCTTTTACAGTGTTAGTGGGAGTGTAAATTCGTTCAATCATTGTGGAAGACATTGTGGCAGTTCCTCAAGGATCTAGAACCAGAAATACCATTTGACCCAGCAATCCCATTACTGGGTATATATCCAAAAGATTATAAATCATTCTACTATAAAGACACATGCACATGTATGTTTATTGCAGCACTATTCACAATTGCAAAGACTTGGAAACAACCCAAATGTCCATCAATGATAGACTGGATAACGAAAATGTAGCACATATATACCATGGAATACTATGCAGACATTTAAAAAGATAAGTTCATGTCCTTTGCAGGAACATGGATGAAGCTGGAAACCATCATTCTCAGCAAAGTAACACAGGAACAGAAAACCAAACACTGCATATTCTCACTCATAATTGGGAGTCGAACAACAAGAACACATGGACATAGGGAGGGGAACATCACACCAGGGCCTGTTGGGGGTTGGGGGGCTAGGGGAGGGATAGCATTAGGAGAAATGCCTAATGTAGATGATGGGTTGATGGGTGCAGCAAACCACCATGGCATGTGTATAACTATGTAACAAACCTGCACGTTCTGCACATGTATTCCAAAACTTAAAGTATAATAAACTATATATAAATATACATATATTTATATATATATGTGAAAAAAAACCCACAAAATAATACTACAAGCTGCTAGGAATAGTTAATATAGTGTTCTGCACCTTAATAATCCTTGAAGTGCAATACCATATAACAAATATTGTAAATAATTTTGAACCTGAAGACTCAAGCAAAGCTTAAACTATAAGTAATATTTTAAGAGGCAAAATATATGTCATATATTTCATATTTCCATTAATAATGATTAAATTTGAAATATTCTAATACTTATAATGGTATAAAACAGTGGTCATTTTTATCAGTTAATGCATAGTAGGCTAAAGAGATATTTATATATAGATAAAATAACTGGTTTAAAATGACCATAATTTTGTACTATTAAAATTTTAGAAGAGCAGTTATAAACAAACATTCAGTATACCTATGATACCAAGAAAACATTATAAAATGAGCATATTATTAATATAAAGTAGGATTATTTAATTTGAATTAAAATAAATTTAATGTTTAGGCAAGATTTATTATGGTAATTCTGAATGAGCATATTGCCACTAATTATTATTGCCAGGTAAAAGGAACTTGTTGATATATAGGACATGGCTACTTTTTTTTTTTTTTTTGAGACAGATCTCGCTCTGTTGCCTAGGCTGAAGTGTAGCGGCACCATCTCGGCTCACTGCAACTTCCATCTCTTGGGTTCAAGGGATTCTTGTGCCTCAGCCTCTCAAGTAGCTGGGATTACAGGCACGTGCCACCATGCCCAGCTAATTTTTTTGTGTGTTTTCAGTAGAGACAGGTTTTTGCCATGCTCCCCTAGCTGGTCTCGATTTCCTAACCTCAGGTGATCCACCCGCCTTAGCCTCCCAAAGTGCTGGGATTACAGGTGTGAGGCAGGGCACTCAGCCGGATATGGCTACTTTAAACACAAAATAATATTATACTAATTTTTTTTTTTATTTTTCAACATCTTAAAATTTAGTACTTTTTATTACATTAATGTACATAACTTTATCTTTCCAACAAACTGTAATCTTCTGACTTCAGAATGTAAGATCTTAAAGTACAGAGACTTGGTTATGTATTTAAGTCTTTCACATGCAATATCAATGGACACATTGCTTCTGCTTAATAAATCCTGCTACTTGTAGTATGCATGGTCAGAAGTCCTTTACTGTTAAAATTATTGTGTATAATACTTATCTAAATGCTCATTAAGAATCCTGAAATAATTAACACTTGTAATTTGCAATATTCATAATAATCATTATCAGAGATATGTCTATGAGACAATAAAAAATCAGTTATGTTAATATGGAGGATTCAGTTGTATTTACAATTATGTAAAACTTTAAACAATATATTAACATTAAAGATAATTTGCCTTTTTTGTCTCTGCTTCATATTCCTCTTTCCCTAAAGTAAAAATGCATACCTGTTTTTGCAGGTCTTGTATTCTACTTTAAGAATTGGTTTACAAGATTCAGATTTTCTTCCTTCTCTTTGACTTTTTCCTAAAGAAAAAAAAGATTTAATTAAATCTAATTTAAATTCTATTCATCTGTAAGAATTAAAAAATTTGACTAAAGGAATTTAAAGATAAAGGAATAATAATGTAATTATGTGTTTGTTATAACAGGATAAACTTATGTCTATGAATCCTAATATTTTTGTTGAATTTGTAAACAATCTTTAGAGTTGCAATACTTGTCTGCTATATAATTCATCAAATTACCTGTAAAATTATATAACTTTTATCGCTTTACATTCTTCACACATAAATCTAATTTCATGTGGAGTTATTTTAATTATTTAAGTTTGAAGACAAAGTTTAGAATTGAAGATCACACATACATACTTACCTATATAATGAAATTTATTACTATTGCTATGGTTTGAATGTGTCCCCCAAAATTCATGTGTTGGAAACTTAATCCCCAGTGCAATAGTATTGAGAATGAGATTTTTAAGAGGTGATTAGGATATGGGGGCTTTGCCCTCATGTTTGAATTAATACAGTTATTGTGAGAATGGCTTGGTTATCATGGGAGTGGGTTTCTAATGAAAGGATTAGCTCAGGCCCCTTCCCTCTGTTGCACATCTCTCAACATGTGATACCTTCCACCATGTTACAACACAGTAAGAAGTCCCTCATCAGATGTTGCCCCTCAATCTTGGACTTTCCAGCCTCCAAAATCATAAGCCAAATAAACCTCTATTGTTTATAAATTGTGTAGCGTGTGGTATTCTGTTACAGCACCACAAAACAGACTAGGACAACAATAACAATCCACACTAGGATCAATATTTTATCTATAATACATGCAAACTCCTTTCATACAGAGAAATACTTGCTATTTAAAGCATATAATGAACTATCAAAATTATTCTATTTCTATCAAATACATTTTTTTTAAAACTTCCATTAGACAATGAACACAAATACTACATTTCATGATTTTTAAAAATCATTTTAATGATGTATTCATTTTGCATAAAACAAAAATGATAATTTCTTATAGGAGATGGGTTATTCTGTTTAGACTCCATAAGATTTTGAATAAAGGATCAAAAAGAGGAGGAAATAGAAGTGAAGCTACTTCTGCACATAACATGCTTATCTTTCTAGTTATGCTTTCAGTTTACTTCTATGTCTCATTTTGGTTAAATTGGCATGTGTTCTGAAATGCAATGTTTGTTTCTTTTTCATTTTCAGTTAAGTACCCTTATTTATTCTTGTATTACCACAGTTGTTTATAGTCACGTATCTATTACATAGACGTTTACATGCATATAGCTTTAAATTTTCAGATTAGCTTCACAATGACATAAGCAAATCCAAATAGGATATCAAGATAGTTTTATTCAACGTGTTTAAAGGGCAAGGAATTAAACAACAAATCAATATCTGCTGCTTGGCATGCTTTCTGAAATTGCCTTTTCTTTATTTTACCCTACATTTACTAAACAAGAAACAAATAATATAAAATTGACCATAATCATTCACACTGTACTAAAATATACATATCTGTGCCATATGTAAAATAGAATTACTGACATTATATGTATATCATGATGCCTTACAAAGAGAAAACTTTTGCTCAGGAACTTATCTGAACAATAGTCTTTTTTTTTTTTTTGAGATGGAGTCTCACTCTGTCGCCCAGGCTGGAGTGCAGTGGTGTGATCTTGGCTCCCTGCAACCTCCACCTCCTGGGTTCAAGCGATTATCCTGCTTCAGCCTCCTGAGTAGCTGGAACTACAGGCATGTGCCACTACACCTGGCTAATTTTTTGTATTTTTAGTAAAGACAGGGTTTCACTGTGTTAGCCAGGATCTCCTGACCTAGTGATCCACCCGTTCTCAGCCTCCCAAAGTGCTGGGATTACAGGCGTGAGCCAACAAGCCCGGCCCTGAACAATGTCTTAAGATTGAGAACTAGATGGTTGGCGATTACTGGCTTTGGTAATGATGTGGGAATAGAGAGAAATAAAAAAAGTGACACAGCCAGGGGAGAGTTCCACTCCCCTTAGTTTATATGTCTTTTCCATCCAGCACTTCACTAAATTGTCAAATCATTAATTGAACAAAACAGTATATTTGCGGTTGTTTGTACATATTAAAGCATTTTTAATCAATATACATCAGAGTCATCAATTGATTTCAGTGGGAAAGAATAATTACATAATTTTCTCGTTAACATTTTCCTTCAATTTCCAACTCTAACAATTTATTCTTGGGAGAGAATTTTTGTGCTTCAATTATATTTATTGACTGTCAGTAATTGAAACATGATTACTTGTCATGTTGTATATAACAACATTATCAACAATTACATTCCTTACTATTCCTGACATTCAGAGTAGTGTACCAAGTGTTAGGGTATTAAAAAACTAAATTCCAGAGGCTTAAAATTCACTACATTAAAAAATAAGTCAAAATGACATTATGAAGTACTATAATGAAATGAGTGATAAGCATGAAGTGCTGTAGAGCTTGAGATTAAAACTGGTTTTACTGACAGGCCAATTTGACTAGATTAAAAGATTCATGAAGGGGAATAGGGGAAATAATGTTAATGAGGTACAAAATAGCTAATCAATGGCAATCTCTAAACTTATTTTCAATATAGAAAATGGAGAGTTATAAGAAGCTTTCAAGTTAGGGAGTGATGAGTGTAAAGCAATGTTTCAAAAATATTTATGTGACTTCATTTAATAGAGCAATTTTGAGGGTATAAGAGACTGATGCTGGAAGAAGAAGATTATTGAAACAGCACAGAAAAAAAAAACAGAAAAAAAGAATGAAGGGAGTATGAACAATCTCAAAGAAATGTCGAATACCATTAATCACAAGAATATACATAATGGAAATAACAGAAGAAAAGGAAAGAAAGGAATACAAATATTTCTTAAAATAATGGTTGAAAACTTTCCTAAATTTGATGAAAAACATTATCTATGCTTTAAGAAGTTCAATAAACTTCAAGCAGGATAAAGAAATCTCTACTCAGACACATACCAGTAAACATGCTTAAAAGAAAAAAAGACACCTTGAAAACTGTGTACAAAGGACCCCTATTAAGATTAACAGCCAACTTTCAGAAACAATGGAGGCTGAAAGGCAACGGAATGTGAAATGACATATTCAAAACAGTAGAAGAAAAAAAAATCTGCTAATCAAGAGTCTTATGTTGAGCAAAACTGCCTTTCAAAAATAAAGATGAAATAAAGACATTTCCAGATAAACAAAAACTGAGAGAATTTGTTGATAACAGAGCTATCTTACAAAAAATACTAAGGAAAGTCCTTCAGGGTGAAAGAAAGTGACCCCAGCAAGTAATTCAAATCTACACAAAGAACAGAGTACCAGTAAAGGTAACTAGGTAGACAATTACAATGGCATAATTGCATATTTATTCTCCAAGCACCTTTTAACTGATTCAAAAATCAATTATATAAGACAATATGTATGTAATTGTATTGTGAGATCTGTATATATATTTGCCAGTAACAACACAAAGGAGGTGGGTGAGAGCAAAGCAATACTGGAACAAGGAAAAGATACCACAGTTGGTGATTTGAATCTACAGCAACAAATGAGGAAAACCAAAAATGATAAGCAAAAACATCAATGTAACAGATTCTATGAATATATACAGGATATACATTTTTGTCAACATCCTTAAAAGACATACAATTATATAAGATTTCATTATAATTTAATTTAAACAATATATGATTGGGTTTGCAGAACATAGAGATACAACATGTATAATGAAAAATCGGCCCAAAAAAAAAAAAAAAGGAGAAGAAGAGTCAAGCACAATGGCTAATGTTTGTAATCCCAGCAATTGGGAGGCCAAGGTGGGTGGATCACCTGAGGCCAGGAGACCAGTCTGGCCAACACGGTGAAACCCTGTCTCTACTAAAAACACAAAAATTAGCCAGGTACGGTAGCAAGTGCCTGTAATCCCACCTACTTGGGAGGCTGAGGCATGAAAATCCCTTGAAACCAGGAGGGGGCCAATATTCAACATTCTTAAAGAAAAGAATTTTCAAACGAGAATTTCATATCCAGCCAAACTAAGTTTAGTAAGCAGAGAAATAAAATGCTTTCCAGACAAGCAAATGTTGAGGGATATTGTCACCACCCAGCCTGCCTTACAAGAGCTCCTGAAGGAAGCACTAAATATGGGGGGAAAAAAACCAAAACAAACAGTATCAGTCACTGCAAAAACATACCAACATATAAAAACCATTGACACTATGAAGAAACTGCATCAACTAATGTGCAAAATAACCAGCTAGCATCATAATGATAGGATCAAATTCACACATAACCATATTGGTAATGGGCTAAAGTCCCCAATTAAAGACAAGACTGGCAAATTGGATAAAGAATCAAGACCCATGAGTGTGCTGCATTCAGGAGACCCATCTCACATGTAGACACACTAGGCTCAAAATAAAGGGATGGAGGAATATTTACCAAGCAAATGGAAAGCAAAAAAGCAGTAGGGGTTGCAATCCTAGTCTCTGATAAAACAGACTTTAAACCAACAAAGATCAAAAAAGAGAAAGAAGAGCATTACATAATGGTAAAGGGATCAATGCAACAAGAAGAGCTAATTATGCTAAACATATATGCACCCAACAGGAGTAGCCACACACTGGGATATGAGTCAATATCCCACCCAGATTCATAAGACAAGTTCTTAGAGACCTACAAAGAGACTTGGACTCCCATACAGTAATAGTGGGAGAATTTAACACTCCACTATCAATATTAGACAGATCAACAAGACAGAAAATTAACAAGGATATTCAGGACTTGAACTCGGCCCTGGACCAAGAGGACCTAATAGACAACTGCAGAACTCTCCACCACAAATCAACAGAATATACATTCTTCTCAGTGCCACGTAACACTTATTCTAAAATCGACCACATAATTGGAAGCAAAACACTCCTCAGCAAATGCAAATGAATGGAAATCGTAGCAAACAGTATCT